GGCAATTAACGCAAAATAAGAAAAAAAAAAGAATGTAGACTGCAAAGGGATCTGCATTTAGTCTTTACCTGAAGTGGATCACTTTTGAATGACGGTAAATCTCTTTCTGCATGTCCTTCAGGTGCGATCAAATGTTGGACTCACTAGCTCATTTTAGTCTCACATGACACTCAAAATGATTCAAGTGTGATGCATGAAGTTTTAACGCTCGCCTACTCGCCTTCATCAATTTTCTCCCGCTTCACTCCCCGACACAATACGCCGCTGCGCAATCAATACGCATCCATCAAACGGTGAATACACAATTTACCGTCTGTCATTAACTTCTTTTTCCAACCGGATGAGATCAAATGTGAACCGAACCTCGCCTGTGCGCGATGGCGACAAATCGCCATTATTTCATCGGGGAGGTGGATCAGCATGGATAGAAAGGTTTGACTGTATCGTTGTGAATCTCCTGCTTGTTTGTCACAGCTGACATACCGACGGGAGGCTAGAGTGGGACGTAAACACACTTTTGCTACAGGGACTTTTCCATTGCCTCCTAAAAGGTCATTCTTTGAGAACAGATTGGAGGGAAGTGTGCTCTTTATCAAAGCGGGGGTCGGGGGAGGGGGGGCAGGAGACGGTGACTCAGTGCACGGAACGCTTTGATGAGCTCATAAAACCCAAAGCCAAATCTGCGCAAGATTAATGCGTGGGCTTTTAATTAATGTGTTTTGGGTCGCACATCTTGGAATTGGCACAAACACGCGGCTAATATCGGGTCTGTATGATGGCAATGGCGCATCTTGCACATAGAGCAGCGGGGGCATTTGCGCGTGTGTGTGTGTGTGTGTCAACACGGGGAAAAACAAACATTTGCAGGCCGTGCTTGGAGTGCGAGCATCAAAGGTTCTGGGTTTGAATCTGGGTTCTGCGGCTTCCTCCCAAAACCCACAAAACATGCAAGTTCAGCCTTTTGAAGAAGCGAAAAAAACGAGTGGGAATGCGTGTTTGTCGATATGTTTAACTGTGATTGATTGACAAACTGATCCAGGGTGCACCTCGCCTCTCGCCCCAAAGTCAGCTCGGCTATGTTCCAGCTAACCCGCCACCCTAACGAGGACAAGAGGTATATAAAAAAAAAAAATGACTTGATGGATGGACTTCCTCTTGAAAAAGTAGTTTCACTCGAGTTCAAACTTGGAGCTTCTACTTAGAAGCTTTTAATGGAGGATGTCAACATTGCTGATGAGGAGAGGTTTAAGGCAAATTAATGGCAACAGCTCCAGCTTCAAAGTCCCATCAGGGGATGCGAAGAAAAAGCCTTTCTCTGTTTCTTTCGCTTTATTTCAGTGCTTGTTTCGTGGTTCAAAAGCTGGTTGGGGATATTTTTAGGAAGGTTTTGCACATAAACTGTAAGATCATCTTTTCGTCTTTGTGAGACAACCCGATTAAATATTTACATATACGCTGCTAATTTCCGTACACTGAGGAACCTCTACAACAAGCACTTTCTTGCTTTCTTGATCTCGACACGGTTGCATTTCCCGTGTGCTCATCTATTTCCTCTATGCCTGCCACTAAAGAGCCTGCGTTTAGATGATTGTGGCCAAGTCATAACTACTGAGGATCGACCACATGACACAGAAGGAAACTGTGGGAATGTCCACTTTGTGGTGTGCTTTTCTTTGTTTTTAATATATATATAAAGCAGGAACATTACAAGTCTGGGCATCTGTCTGCTGGGGCACTTCATCTTGACGCGTGTGCCTGATATATGTGGTCAAACGTCAATGTTTTTGGATATGTATAGTAAGTTTATACAGTGAGTGTTTCTGTATGTTCATGCTTGTCTTCTGGTTTATTTTATTCATCACTTTGCTGTTGGCCCACTGTGAAGTCGACGCAAGTAACTTGATACGCGTGTGATCCCGCAAAGCGAAGTAGGCAACCTCAGTAAAGCCACACCCACCTTAAACACCCAAATTACTGTCACCCAAGAGAGTAATAAGAACAGGCACTCAAATAATACGTGAACGTCAATGGTGTGGTGATGTTCATCAGTATATGACACCATTTTAAGAATGAAATGCCATTTTTGGCCCACATTGAGTTCCTAAGTACTGTTACAAAGACACAAATCAAGAAAGTGACCCAGATAAAGCTGTGGCCTGTGTACAACGAAACCAGACATCTACAAATCAGATTATTACATCATGATGCTCTGCTATGTTGGTTTAGTCATAAAACAGGTGAGCGGGTCTCACTTGTATGCCAGAGTTGTCCTACTGGTGAGGACAAAGAGATCCAAAACCTGGAAATTAATTAAGGACATGTTTAAACTGCTTTCCACGACGCAAGCTATCAGTGTGCGACACATGCCTGCTAGTTGGTCATAGTGCAGTTACTAGTGCCACACAGTAAATTAAAAATAAGTCTTAATTGCATTCTTGTAGGGCGGCACGGGGGGAGACTGGGTAGCATGTCCGCCTCACAGGGCAGAAGTGCAGGGTTTGATTCTGGCTCCGGCATGTTCTCCCCGTGCCTGTGTGGGTTTTCTCCGGGTAGTCCGGTTTCCTCACGCATTCCAAAAACATGGATGGCAGGTTCATGGAACATTCTAAATCAGTGGTTCTTCACCTTGTTAGAGGTACTGAACCCAAACAGTTCATATGCTCGCTCACCGAACCCTTCATTAGTGAAAAATAAAAATATGCTTTTTTTTTTTTTTACAAATTCAAGACATTAAAAAAAAAAAAAACGCATTTATGAAAAACTTCACCGAACCCCTAGCGTTCGATTGAACCCAGGTTAAGAACCACTGCTCTAAATTGTCCCAAAGTGCGATTGTGAGCGTGGATGGTTGTTCGTCTCCGTTTGCCCTGCAATTGGCCGGCAACCGATTCAAGGTGTACCCTGCCTACTGCCCGGGATACGCTCCAGCACGCCAGCGACCCTTGTGAGGATAAAGCGGATCGGAAAATGGATGGATGGAGGCATCCTAGTAGGCCAAAGTGCCACTAGTAGTGGAAACGCAATCATGCTATTAGTGCATTGTGGCTTCATCATAGGTGATTGTGTATGTTGTATATGCAACAATGTGTTAAAGACTTTTCTCATCGTCAAACATGTCTTGTTCTGTATGTATTATATCTAACCATTGAATTGTTCTCTTTCTACATGCTAGAGAGACATCTCAGAAAAGAAAGAAATGAGGTCCTTTGGAGCGACATTCTTCTCGGCTGAATCTCGTCTCGCTTTTGTTCTTAATCTCTTCATCTTTGTCACCTTTTATTGCCCCATTTTGCTTCAGCTCCTATTTTTCCTCCTCCTGATGGGGCTTTATGTGCTCCTTAAGTCTGTTGAGAACGGAAGAAAGAAAGAAGGGTGAGTCGCTGAAACATAAAAGATGTTCCATCCCGTTGGGATTAGTTTCATCCCTCTCTCTCTCTCACACACACACACACACGCACACACACACACACACACACACACACACACACACACACGGAAAAACATGCCCGTTAGACTAGTGGTAAAACTTCAGAAAAGCTCCTGCCTTCTTCTTATCCAGGATTTCTTGATTTCAGGTGCCCACATAGCAACGTGTCCTCAAAATATAACCGTAAACAGACTTTTGTCTCCCTTTACATGATGGGATTTCCTGCGTTTGGCCCCTGTAACATGACTGTATAAACAGACTGTGTGAGGTATCCAATAAAATATAAATCGCAGAACACAAACGCGCCTATTGAGCTTAGGCTAACGACTTGTACAGATTTTTCAGTCCCCACATCACGAGAACAAAAATCTTCAAAATTGCTGCTGTGTACATATTATGGCTTTTTCTGTTTTGTTTGGTTTGGCTTTGGGTGTTTTTTTTTTTTTTTTTTTGGTCCCCACACCAGAAGACTTTTAAAAGTCAGCATTAAACCGGAACACACACACACACACACACACACACACACACACACACACACACACACACGGCCACAAACTGGCATGAACGATTATGAATTTTTGTTCCCCACATGAGAACTTGAATACACACAAGGGGTTGTAGTCGACTTGTTGACTTTCCTACAGCGCGTCGATGTTTACCTCTTGAAGTCGACTAATCGCTAATCATGTGAAATTGGCATCTCGTCTTCCAACCGTCCGGTTTAAAGAGGACCTATCAGGTATCTGTCAGCTGCCGTTGCCAGACGATAGCGCTGTAGAGACGAGAAATGTCCAGTCAACAGATGAACCAGCCTTCAAATGTCTGCGCGGGAGCACCAAAATAAACTGCGGCTGGAAAAATCACGATGGTTCGTCTTGCTAGCCTCGGTTACTCTAATCCAGGGGTGTCAAACTCATTTATGCTGCGGGCCACATTTTAGTTACCGTTTCACCTGGAGGGCCATTATGACTGAAACCATATAAAGATGTAAAGAATAACTGTTGATTCAACTATTGGTTAAGTTACTATCATGAGGGGTTTGGTGACAAGAAAATGCTTGGAATCAGGGACGTGCGGTCAGGGGAGGCAGGGGAGGCAGAGCCTCACCTTGAATGCGCATTGCGCAATCATCACAAACTGGGTCGATACGTGCGACTGGCTCGTGCTGCTTGCCGTATAGCTGCATGTCGCAAATATAACGTTGAGCCAATTGAATAAGCTCCCCTTTTTTGCTTGATATATTTGTCAATCTGACACCAAAGGAGTCAGCGCCTCACCAAGCATGAACCTCACCAAACGCCTCTGCTTGGAATATATCTCTTATTTATTACACATAAGAATTAAACATTTTGGTCGACATTTTAGAAAGGATCATGGAAGTTGACATGTTTGAGCTGCTTTCGCTGGGCCACATAAAATGATGTAGCGGGCCAGATCTGGCCCCCGGGCCTTGAGTTTGACACCTGTGCTCTAATCGCTGCTCGTCTCGACATTTTGATATCAGCGGTATCTCTGGTCTTGTGGTGAGGAACGAAGGCAGCGGTGTGAAGTGCCGCTCCATCTACGTCACCCGCTTATGACGTCTTGTCTTACACCATCTCGCGCAACGGAACACAAGATGAAACCACACGACAAACCTTCAGTCATTCAATCCTTAATAGAAAGATATACTGGAAAAAAAAATCTTCAGAATACCTAAAGCAAGAATAATACAGAACCCAATTCATGCATGAATACCATAAACGTACGCCCACCAACGTACAACAGCTCCTGCATTCGTATGAGGGGATTTCTTCTTTTTTTTTGTCTCCCAACAGGCTCCATAACAAACACCCAACTGTGCAAACAGACTTTTATCCCGAGCAAGGCATGAATACCAGCGCATGCACACGGGAACGGAGCATCAGATGAAGTGATTATTATGGGCTAATCCTGACTTTTGGTGAGTGTGAGTGCGCGCACATACAAAAGATCATGTTGAAGTGCATGACATCATGAAACACAACAAATATAGCGCTAATCCCTCCAATGAATTACACGGAACCTTATTTTCAGCCTTCTAATCCTTTTTAACTTTCTCCATTTCTCTGTCCCGCCCTCGTGCCGTCTTGTGTCCTTGGTCATTTTCGTTGTCCCGCGTTATTTCCTGTCCTACATGTCAGCATCTAAACAATCTCAGGGTCTCTGCGGGCTCTGCCAAATCCTGACATTTGATGATTGGCCACAGCAAATCACAACACTACATGGTGACAGGAAGCCTTTGGAAAAAAAAGAAAAAAAAACATCCAATGCATCAAGATATCCGATGAATACCAATTCTTGTAACAACAGATATTGTGAAAAACACATTTTTGTGAGGCAAAATGAAGCTGGCTTAATCGAGCCATCCGAGGGCCGACGATGTTCAACTGGGGAGAAAACTAATTTGCAGAGATGTGGAATTTGAAAGTCAAATTTTTAAAGACAGCGAAACTCTCATGAGACTGTCGAGAAAAGTTTTTTTTTTCCAGCAAGAAACAAGAATTATGATATCGCCTAACCTCATTTAACTCATATCTCATTCAAAAACGCTGCTTTTTTACATTCTGATTTGAACATTTGGCTTCTCTGCCAGCAGTCTTTTGTCTTTTATTGTGTTCAACCGGCTGGCAACAACCTTGAATGTTTTGACTTTTTTAAAACGGATGTCGACTTTATGATATGATGAACAATAAATAACCTTTTTTCAGATTTTATGGCCCTAGGTCAAAATCAGGTGGCTAAATGTACTATTAACTTAGAAATAAAGGTAATGCATTGATAATGCCATTTTTTTCTCTGCATGTTCTGCGGCATACGTCTCCAAAAAAAAACCATCTTAAAATCGTAAACAAGCACAAAACATACGGTGATGATTTAATTTGAGCTAATTTGCAGATGCTTTTTAATTGACTTTTTTTTTTTCAAATTGCAACCCACTACAAGAACCTTTGCCAAGCCTCGAAAATCCTAATGTGGATCTGAGCTAAACTGCCAATTATCATACACGTGTTTATTCCGAAAATTTGTGACCAAAAAAAAAAAAAAAAACAAACAAAAAAATTCTTGCATCACAACTGAAAAATCTGCAGTATATCCAGATCCACACTAAAAATGTTAAGTCGGTCTTGTCCTATTGCCCACCCCTCTTTTTTTTTTTGGCATAATTTTGCTAACACAAACAACTGTGATTTACTTATGTGTGTGTGTGTGCGTGTGAGAGCAAGGGCTGATTTTGAAATAACTAAATATGGATGGTTGGGGTGTCGGGGGGATGTATGGCTTGACACTGCTGTGCTGAAACATTGCACTCTTCACTCCAGCTGGTCAAAGATGACAAAGCTCTGCTTCCACACCAGTACAAACACCCTTCTATTCAATGCTGTCACTGTGACACACACACACACACACACACACACACACACACACACACACACACACACACACACACACACACACACACACATTTGGCATGGGTGATTGTTCCAAGCAGAGGAGTGAAATCATTCTGACCCGCTTGCAGGGTAGAACAGATGACAGAAAAGGTGGAGACAATCAGCACTGATCAAAGGTCCCGCGGGACATTTGCAGCGTCTGTGGAAAATTCATTTCATATCGCTTCACTACAAAGTGATGATGGTCCCCCGCGCGCTTTGTAATACGATTGCTCGAGATGTATGACCGTCAGGTAGGATGAGGTCAATTAGGAAGAGCTGTACAGGCACTTTCTGACAAAAAAAAAAAAAAATCGAACATTTGCAAATGCTTCCACAGTCAAGTGTGAGAACTGCAGCAAGCTGGAGGAAGTCCAGCATACTTGAGAAGCGAAGATCAAACAGAGGCAAACGAGGCCCAGTTGTGCTTCAAAAAGAGGTTTGCTCGCTCATCTCGCCATACCACAAAATGGAGGAAAAAGTAGGGAGGACGTATTTTTAACATCCAAAACAATTTTTCAAATGTGACATCTGTCATGAGAAAAAATATATATAGACATCACATGTGTTCTTTCTGCTCTTTTAGTGTGTCGGATACTCCGGTTGACCGACACAGCACACAGCGGAGGACAAAATCTCCACCAACAAATGCGAGTCTCCCCTCCCCTCCCATGCCAGGAGTGTCGTGTGGTATCAAGGCTGGCCTTTCAGAGGAACCAGAGGGCATCCAGACCGCCATGAAGTGCAAAGTGGAAGAAGAAATGGAAAGTGCTAGTCTGTCATCTCATTGGGTAGTTACGGCAAATGACTTTGAAAAGATGATGAATTCAAAGATCGAAGAGTGATGGAATTAAAAAACAACAAGATGAGCTGCTTAAGATTCATTTCTGGCTATTTCACAAATTGGAAGATTTGAATCTGCACGCAAAGTTACCTTCCTTCCGCAATGCAGCATTGTAGCTATTGATTCTTAATAAATTCAAACGCATCTATCTGTATCGAACCTATTTTCGCTCGTTCTTGTCTAAAATCATCTCGACTTTCAATCTTGAGATGACATAATGCCAGAAAATGAAGCGGTGCAGTTACACAACTCTTTGTCGACACTTGACGTGCCCAAGAGACTGAATAGAATTGCCATCAAGCAATTTTCAAGCGCTTTCGATCGGTTAACAATTTGGATTGAAAACATATCAGGAATAACAGACTACGCAGGGATTAAACCATTAATATCGAGGTGTGGAAAAAAAAAAAAGAAATTGATCACATTTGGATCAATGAGTTTTCACAGCCACCAGCGGCTCAAAAGATTCTTTTCAGTTTTTTTTTTCTCCTTAATTTTTTGGAAGTGTTTATTTTTGACAAGAAAAATGTTGATCTGCGGTCTGTTCATTATTGCATTGCATAGTAAATCTAAAGTGGGTGCTGCCACCATTTTCAAAAAGCTCATATCAAAGCTCATATT